GTGCCTTTGCATGCAGTGGGTGCTCAATAAATACTGAATGAATGCAGCCTAACATCTATCAGTTGGTGTCACCGAGTCTCATTTCCTCTACGTAAAATGAGAGTATTGGCAAATGGCTGCTTTATATCTTCCAGTTTGAACATTCTATGGGTCCTTTTGGATAGCCATTTAAAATGATCTCCTGGGGCTTCACTGGTGGTGCAGTGGTTAAGACTCCATGCTTGCAATGCAGGGAGCCCGGGGCTCTATCCCTGGTCAGGGAACTAGATCCCATATGTGTGCCGCCACTAAGAGTTCACATGCTACAACCAAGGAGCTGGCGAGCTGCCACTATGGAGCCCGCCTGCCGCAACTAAGACCTGGCGCAACCAAATAAATAAATAAAATATATACTTTAAAAAATAAAATAAATGAATAGTATTTTTAAAAAATAATAAAATAATCTCCCATCGCCAAAGCTGTTTCTAAGCAACAGAACAGTACTTCCCTGAACTCGTTGTTTGACCTCTTCAGCCTAAAAAGATGTTTCTCCCTGAGCCTGCAGCATTACATTATCTGTAATACACATTTATTTATTATCTGGTGACACATCTCATGTTGGTATTTAGCTTTTCATCTGTGTAGATCCTGTCCTGTCCTTACAATTAGAGTGTAAGCTTCCCAAGCCAGATACTTTATAAAATGTGCTCTGTAAATATTTGTTAAATAAATAGATATCACAGCAAGAAATCATCCATAGGGAATTTTGGGCCTAAGGGAAGCAGAAGAATCAACGGTGAGTCCCAAGTTTGTGGTTTGGGAAACTTGGTGTGTGATGATGCTGCTCTTCAAGAGAGAGAATCCTGCAAGAGGAACAGGTTTGGAGGAGGGTGGGGACGAGGTGAATTTAGTGACAAGCTACATTCTATACCTCCTAATTCCAGATCCTCAAAGAACATTAGCCAAGTAACGATTTTGAGACGTGAGATCCTGGACAAAGGAACTTATTTTACTGTGTGTAGCCTAGAGCTCCCCAAATAATTGAACATGATTATGGACACACTGATATAACACAAGAGAAGCAGGGCTATGAAGGAAGCCTGCAGGACAACTAACTTTTAAGGACTGGCAGGAGGAATTTGAAAAGGAGCATCCAGAGATGTAGGAGGGAGTTTTCACCCCTGGCTTTTAATCCTGGCTCACTCCTTCCACAGATACATGGGAAAACCAACTTCCATCTCTTGCCAAGGAACAAGAGAGCCTCTGGGCTATGTCTTGGAAAGTGCAGCGTTCTTTGGAAGAAAGAAGGCACTCAGGCACTTCTAGTCCACCTCTAATCACTGTCTCTTCTCAAAGAAATCACCTCCTTTGCTAAAAGGAAGCCCGTATCAACATGCTCAGATCCAAGACCATGAGAACCCAACATCCATGCTTGTAACTATAATCTAACTATATAACTATATATAGTTATATATGTAACTATAAATTAGATCTGATATAGGCTAAGACAGTACAAAACCTAAACGACATAGAAAAATAAATGATCTGAATAAGTTATCTGACTCACTCCCTGTCTTCTGGAACTATCCTCAAACTTCCCTTTAATGTTGCGTTTCAATCTCAACAGCATCTGTTTTTTTGTGTTTTTGTTTTGTTTTGTTTTCAATATCCTGCATCTATGTATGGAAAGTTGAGAAAGGGTGAAAAGGACAAGAATGGGAAAATGCAAGGTAGTAGTTTATGTAGGGCTCATGCTAGTGGGATTGTACAATGTAGCCACTTTGGAAAACAGTTTTGTAGTTCCGTAAAAAATTAAACATAAAATTAACGTATGACCCAGCAAGGGGTATGGAGTTTCCTTTTGGGGTGAATTAGAGCGTTCTAAAATTAAATAGTGGTGATAAATGCACAACTCTGTGAATATAGTAAAACCACTGAACTGTACTTTCAAAGGGTGAATTTTATGATATGTGAATTATATCTCAATAAAGCTATGGACAGAGGATCTGAACTGACATTTTTCCAAAGAAGACACACAGATGGCCAGCAGTGCATGAAAAGGTGCTCAACATCACTAATCATCAGGAAAATGCAAATCAAAGCCACAATGAGATGTCACCTCATAGCTGTTAGAATGGCTGTCATCAAAAAGGCACCAAATAAAGTGGTAGCAAAAATGTGGAAAAAAGGGAACCCGTGTGCACTGATGTTAGGAATGTAAATTGGTGCAGCCACTATGAGAAACAGTATGGAGGTTCCTCAAAAATTAAAAATGGAACTACCATATGATCCAGCAATTCCACTTCTGGGTATTTATCTGAAGGAAACAAAAATACTAACTCAAAAAGATATATGCACCCCAATGTTCATTGTAGCTTTACAGTAGCCAAGACATGGAAAGAAGCTGTGACCATCAATGGATGAATGGATAAAGAAAATGTGATACACACATATGTATATATACACAGTGGAATATTACTCAGCCATAAAACGAAGAAAATCTTGCCTTTTGTGACAACATGGTTGGACATTGAGAGCATTATGCTAAGTGAAATGTCAGAGAAAGACAAAAGATAAAGATCTCACTTATATGTGGAATCTAAAAACAAACAAACAAAACCTAAACTCATAGATACAGAGAACAGATTGGTTGTTTCTGCCAGAGGTGGGGATGGGGATGGATGAATGCGTGAAGGGGTCAAAAGATACAAAACAAACTTCCAGTTATAAAATAAATAAATCCTGGGGATGTAATGTACAGCTTGACTATAGTTAATTACACTGTAGTTTATATTTTAAAATTGCTAAGAGAGTAGATCTTAAGAGTTATCACAGGAAAAAAAATTGTAACTATGTGTGGTGATGGATATTAATGAGATTTAATATGGTGATCATTTCAAAATATATAAAAATATTGAATCATGTTGTACATCTGAAACTAATATATTATATTATATATCAATTATATCTCAATAAAAAAAGAAAAAAATTCAAGGTGGATAAATACTCTCTTTTCAAGAAAAAACATTCTCCAAATAATGGAAAATCAGTTACTTGTTGTTTGCTAGTTCTTCGCCCCTCAAATGCTCTATCACCAGTGGTTTACCTCCACAGCTGTATGGCAGCTGAGAGACAGTTGTTCTTGTCCCCAGTTCGTTTTCTCTAGAATAATTTGAGGTGGTAAAATTAATCTATCTCTAATGAGATCTCTTTTTCTGCTAGAAGCACAAATAACATTCAACTACTGGTTTCTGACGGATTTGTACCCACAGCTTTGTCTTTCCATTTCTATGACATCGGAAAGGACATGTTTGTTTATGCAGTTTATCTGTACATTTTTTAGATCACTTTTCTATTTTTTTCTTCACATCTTTATTGGAGTATAAATGCTTTACAATGGTGTGTTAGCTTCTGCTGTATAACAAAGTGAATCAGCTATTCGCATACATATATCCCCATATCCCCTCCCTCTTGCGTCTCCCTCCCACCCTCCCTACCCCACCCCTCTAGGTCATCACAAAGCACTGAGCTGATCTCCCTGTGCTATGCGGCTGCTTCCCACTAGCTATCTGTTTTACATTTGTTAGTATATATAAGTCCATGCCACTCTCTCACTTCATCCCAGCTTCCCCTTGCCCCCCCCACCCCGTGCCCTCAAGCCTGTTCACTACGTCTGCGTCTTTATTCCTGCCCTGCCAGTAGGTTCATCAGTACCAGTTTTTAAAGTTCCATACATACGTGTTAGCATACGGTAACACGAGGACGAGGGCCTCCTCTGTCCTGCTGGACCCCTAACCGTGGGTGGGTCACGCTGGGTGTAGGAACTCCTCCCTCCCCCAGCCGCCCCTCAGGGGTGCTGGTCCCCTTGGTCTGGCCTTTACTTTTTTTTTTTTTTTTCCGGTACGTGGGTCTCCCACTGTTGTGCCCTCTCCCGTTGCGGAGCACAGGCTCCGGATGCGCAGGCTCAGCGGCCATGGCTCACGGGCCCAGTCCCTCCGCGGCATGTGGGATCTTCCCGGACCGGGGCACGAACCCGTGTCCCCTGCATCGGCAGGCGGACTCTCAACCACTGCGCCACCAGGGAAGCCCTGGCCTTTACTTTTGCTCCCCCTTTCCCTCCCTCCCTCCCTCCCACTCCCTCAGGACCCGAGTGGCTGTAAGGGTCCTCGGTGGGCAGGGGATCAGGCCCGGGATCTCAGCAGGCTCCCAGGGGCCCAAGTGGGCAGGGGAAACCTGGCCACGCTCCCTTTTGATCCTCTGCCCTCTCAATGGTCCCCCACTTTCCCTCTTCGGGCGTGGGATCCCTTCCCCTCCCCCAGCCGCCCCTCAGGGGCACCAGTCCCATCCCGCCTCCACTTCTCCTCCCCCTTCACTCCCCCCATGCCCCAGGCCCTACCCGGTCGCTGAGGGTTCCTCCCATCCCCTTCGGTGTCCGTGGTCCCCCACCGGTGCCTGGTAGGTGCCCTAGTTGTGAGGAGACGCAAATTCTGCGTCCTCCTAGTCCGCCATCTTGACCCCACCCCCTCCCCCCCAGGTCACTTTTCTAAAACTCAGCTTTGTTAAGGTATAATTTATGTTTCGTCAAATTCACCTTTGGAACGTTTCCAATTCAGTGAATTTTGGTGAACGCGTACAGTCATGTAATCACCGACAAACTTGAGATATAGACTATTTCCATCACCCTAAAATGTCCCTTTGTAGTCACCCCGTTTCTCCACATCTAGGCCCTGGCAGCCTCGCCCCCACCCCCCCCATCTTACTTGATTTCTGTCCCAAGGGCACTCTTCCATCCCTATTTTGTGTTGTCATTTATCTTTAGGTAAGTCTCTCTAGCACGCAGGATCCTGCTTTGTATCCCTATAGAGCCAAATGTGGTACCTGGCACCCAAAATGTACTCAGGAAATAGGTGCTTAAAAAATAAATGAATCACTTGTTTTTCAGGTTTTGCCAAATCATTTCAGAGACTCTGCTCTCTGATTTCCAGGATGTGCCGTTTGAAAAGGGGCTATTAATGCTGGGGAAAGATTTCTCCTAGAGTTTTAATTTATACAGTCTTTAAAAAAAAAAAAGGGCCATAGTTATTTCTAACTTCAGAGATTTTGCTGAGCATTTCAACCATTTCCTTAGACTTGGGACTTACAACTTTGTTTGCTCAACCAGCACGTGGGCCTCTGACCTCTCAACCTGAATAAACAGATGGAAATAGAAGCTGGGACCAAACGCAGCTGCTGCTCTCTCCTCCCCCTGTTCTTGCCATCTCTGATCCCTCCACCTCCACAGGGCATGGCCCAGGGTATCCTCCGGAGCTCCCCTGAATAAGTTCTGTGAGATTCCAGACCCATTTCACGGATGACTCCGGGGGTGGAATCTGACGGTGGCTTAAGGTTTCTCATCATGCAGGGTGTGACCCAGCTGCAGCTGGCTCATCAGGCAGGCTCAGATTCCTCTGGTCCTTCCTCATCTGATTCCTCTTCTATCTTGATGTGCATCCAAAAGTTGACATTCCTAGAGAAACGACAAGAAGAGGTGACCAAAATTCCCCCTTGTCTGACCAGTTATCTGAAATGGCCTAGTTCTCGAAGGGAACTGCCCTTTCTTGAAAGGTGTTGGTGCTTTCCTCTAGACTGGCCAGTTGCCCCAAGCTGATGCGTCCCTATGCACTTTCTGTGGGTTGGCAGTCCTTGCTAGGCCTTCTGCTTAGCTGGCAAAGGCCCAACAGCTCAGACACATGAGAGACCACTTTTTCCCTCTGGGGAGGTTGTACCTTGCCTCCCAGATGCAGTCTTGGTGCTGGCATCAAATTGGTTCCAAATGGAACCTCATTCCCTTTGTCCCCCTTTGCCCTCACACTTTGCCCCGTGGCTTCCCTGGAACAGCTCTGGTGAAGGACGGTTTCTGCTCCAGAAGACAGTGCACGATGTAAGCGCATCGCTGCCAAACCTTTCGAAGCCTGAACTCCTGATACAAGGGGGAGTGGAGGTGGAGGTTTCTGCTACCTGCTGCTAGGTAAACAAAACACCAAAAAGGTGGTGCATTTGTACACATGGAGTAATTGCGTAGTTCATAACCCTGTGGACAGATAAAGTAGTAATCAATGGAAGGGAGCTAAAGAAATTCTTACTACAGTAATGATGACAGGTTTGTGTGTGTGTGAGAGAGACAGAGAGAGAGAAAGAGAGAGGGAGGGAAAGAGAGAGAGGAGAGAGGGAGAGAGAGGGAGAAGATGGGGGTTGGGAAGGGAAGGTTCAGGGAAAAAGGGAAAAACAAAAGGGAGAAAGAAAAAAGAAGGGTTAAAGTGGAGGAAAGCATATGTCCTTCAGGAGGATCTTCTAAAGCTGCGACTCTCAGACTTTTGTTTTATTACTATGACAGTAAGAAATGTATTTTACTCCACGCAGGGCGCGCACGCGAGCGCGCGCGCGCGCACACACACACACACACACACACACACAGAGATGTATAGAATAAAACAGAAAATAAGTTTGCGCGTAGCCAGCTAGAAGAGTAGGGCACTTATTTCCATCACACATCAGTGCGTGTGGCGTCGGGGGCGCCCCCGGGCCGCGCCCAGCCGCGCGCTGGGTCAGGCGCCCCACTCCACCCGCCGCAGGGCCCCCGGGTCGCCACACCCGCGGGGGAGGAGAGCGACCGGGGCGCGGCTCTGAGCTACCGGCGGCAGCTCCCGCGGCGGCGGCGGCGGATCCAGACGTGACGCGGGATGGAGACAGACAAGCAGGGCTGCGTGCCCGCGTGGTGGCACATGGTCGCGTGGAGCCTGAGGTGAGTGCACGCCGCGCCCTGTGCGCCCCGGCAGCGCCCCGCCGGCTCCGACCGCCCGGAATGCTGCAGGGTGGGTACCGCCGGGCAGTGACGCAGGGCTGGTGGCCGAGCGCTGACTCCCGGGGCTTCGGAGGCCCCCAGAGCTCTTGGACGGCTGTATCCTCAGCCCCAACCCCTACCCGCGCCGGCGAGACTCGCACGTTTGACTTTTCAGGAACCTATATCCCTTTGGGGCTTCTGAACTAGAGATTCCAGAAAGCTGGTTCAGGTTCCTGTGCCAATCTCTTATCTGCCTTGACATTTTACTAACAGCAGGACGGATTTTAAAAAATAATAATAGTGACAATAATAATCGGTGTTGTAGTCTTGGAAGGCATTCTGTTAGGTCAAGGGCTATCTGTGTAGATGGAGAAGGATCGGAAGGCCACCTCCCTGAGTGTGAAGCGTCTGGCGTGTAAAGAACGCCTCTCCATAATGCTAGAGATGCATGGTACATTGAAACCATAACTTGGCATCATTGCCTGTGCCTAGTTCTTATATCCTTTAAATGTGAAATGTGTAGGTCAGCACAGGTTTTTCATTTTCTTCCTTCCATGAATCCTTGGCTTGAGCAGTAATCTTAGACTACCTCAGTCGACCAGCAATGCACTGACAGTCTCGTTTGCGTTGAAGCCAGGTATTGGTTGGAGACCTTGGACCCAAAAGACTGCGTGTCTTGTTTTGTCTTGTTGGTGTGGGAAGGTATTGGCAGTTTTGTTTACCTTTCTTCTTTCGATTCCTTTGTTTTGCTTAGTTAAATTTTTGCTGATTACAAGATATCCAAAAATCATACCCAGGCACAGGAGACTTCACTTTGGAATGTCTGAGTGGTGAAGACAAACACCAATCTCCTTTCCTCTCTTCCTGCTGTGGCCAAAGGCAGGAAGCAGAGAGCGGCCCTCTCCTGGCCCAGCGGTGCAGGCCGAAGCCCCCTTTCTGTGTTGGATCTGAACACCAGTCAGAATGTCCTGACTGGCTGCACTTTTCACCATCATGGGCCTTACCTCCCAGATACGGCTGTTCTGGGAAAGCTAGCATTTACCACCTTTTAGTGGATGGCTGATTATTTAACATTTATTTGGTAGAGAATCAAAGCTGCAGTTCACGCTTTTAGAGAACAGCCCACTTTGTTGATAGCGGAGTGGAGATGGGGATTTGGGGCCCCTTACTTGCCTTCGTAGTTACTAAAAATACTTCTCGAGATGCTTCGTGAAAGAATAAAATACTTGGGCATTTCTTCATCTGAGCAGAAAATTACTGATCTAATGTAGGCCGTGCTGAGGCACAGACTGATATCCAGCATCCCGAGTCCTTTTTGTTTCTTGGAGCCTGGTTAGTTCAGCAAACATTCATGGAGGGCTTGCTGTGCACCTGGAACAGCCTGTAGCTGTGGATCTATTGTGATATGTTGTGAAACCCAGGGAGAACATTTAACCATGTTGTTTTCAGTGATTATTTTTTAATGCCTTGGGGATCTATTTATTTATTTTACAAAAGTCTCATCAGATGTAGTTGCTTCTGAAGATGGATGGGCCCAGGAAAGTAAATCTCCACTTGCAACTGATTTTCTTCAAATTAGAAAAATGGAAACCATGTTCAGGAAAGAAGTTGGGGGAAGCCGAAGGGCTATTTTCCTCTTCATTTCTCCCTATTTCATCCCAAGTTTTTACTTTTCTAGATAGTGCTTAGAAAATCACCATGAGAAGGCTGATAAACGTATCCATCCTCACCAGAGTATTGGACATCCCACTCCCTATCAGGCACTCATCTAGGCCCTGGGCACACAGCCATAAATAAAACAGGCAAAACCCCTGCTCTTGGGGAGCTCACATTGATTAATTTTCAGTTGTATCAATAATTCAAAACAGAGAAGGAATCCCTTCCCCTGTCCCCCAAAGCTACCAATAAGCCTTGCTTCCTTCTCCTTTATGAAAGAAATACACTCTTCTTTCTGTTCTCAACCTTTCATTCAATGAATATTTATGGAGCTCGGCCCTGTGCTAGGCAGAGTGGAATGTAAAAGCAGTATTATCTGTCACGTGGTTCTTGTCACTGGGGAGACAGGACTGATAGTGGGAAAACAATCAGAAAACAATTAAGGGTCAAACTGAGGCCCCGATTATAATTAGTGGGAGGGGTGAAAAGAGGAAAAGTCACCATGAGAAGATCTGTCTAGAGAAGCTTTGAAAATAAAAAAGAGGGACACTTGAGTGGATGTGAAGGAAAGGGAGGATTTGGTTGGGAGGAAAGAAGGGAGGAGAACACAGATGTAACTTGGTGCTTGGTGAGTTGGTGATCAATACATGTTGGCGGGATGAATGGGCACAGGGTGGATGTGTGGCATGTCTTAATATTTGGAATCGTTGTCTTGCCAAATGTGGTCAGAGTTGGGCTTCCCAAAGCTGGTACCTCTGAGCATGAAGGAGAAATGATTCGCCCTGTAGCAGCTGGTTCCACCAGGTTTTGCCAGTAAGAATCATCCAGTTAGGTTCTGTAGCCCCTGTGGGATGCAGTGCAGTTACAGCCACGGCTAATCAAAGGGCAGGTGAAGAACACCAAAGCATCAAGGTGGCTGTTTGATGTGCTGGCCGTGAGCGAGGATCGGGCTGAAACTGCATTCTCTGCTCAAATAAGGTCTATTAGCCACTGGTGACTTTTGATCCCCTATTGATCTAGGGGAAGTCAAACTGACAGGCCCCTAGTTAAAAGGAGCCGCTGTGCATTATTGATGCTGTGAGGGACGTGGTCACTCTGTTCTCTTCCCGCAGCAATTCTCACAGAAATGCCTTGAGCTATTTGAGAGAAGGGTCCTGTATGAATTATTCTTTAAAAACAGAAACATATTTCCCTGTCTTGCCCCAGCTTCCCAAGCACCCTGCTACCTGTAAAAGGCAACTTAGCGGGAGTCTAACAGGCAGGGTAGTGGGAGTTCAGAGAGTCAGGAGAAAGAAAGCCAGAGCCAGCCAACTGGAAGGGAGCATAAGAATTCAGTTCTGCTCATCTGTCTGGGCGTGATCTGTGGCTCAAAGTGGCTCCTCTGGGTTTTGATTTCTTATCTCTAAAATCAGAACAGCCATATCCTCTGCTTCCGACCACCTTCATGGAGGCTATTTTAAAGTATGAAACAATCATTTTCGTTTTTTTCTTGCTGATTTTATGTGTAGGCAGTTGCCCATGGCTGATGTATTTGAAGAGCTGTCCATCACCCTTAGCCTGCTTATCTTTTCCACTCCCAGCAGAATTGCTGGAAATTCATCAGAGATTCATTATCTTCTGCCTCCATGCCTTTTCCAAACACGTGTAAGTGCCCTGATTTTTAAGTTATTAACACTTGAGGGAGAATTTTTTTAGAGGTCTTTCTTTGATGCCTTTGGCTATCTTCTGAGGATACGGGAGCAGGAAGGAAGAAAGTGGGAGGAAGGAGGGACCCTGAGAGGATCAAGGGTGCAGAAGGGGAGAAAAGGATCCTGAAACAACTCTCTCAAGAGCTGAATTTTACCAGAGCCCAGCCTTGTTCCTGGGGCTCATTTTTGCTTCAAGGATGACAAGTAGAACTCACCAGGACTGTGACAGCTCATTGGACATCACCGTGGAATTCTGGGGTTGTACAGACCTGGGTTCACGTGGCTCTGCCATTCATTGGCTGTGTGACCTTGGGAAGGGTCCTTAACTTTTCAGTCTCCTCATCTGTAAAGCAGAGGTAATAACAGCTGTCTTCTAAGATGCCTCTGGTCTAGCAGAGCAATCAGGGCAGGGGAGACAGTGCATCAGAAATGCTTTCCATCCCCTACAGCCTCACGATTTGATCACACTGACCGTTCACAGTAGGGAAAGGGACTCTTGTCATGGACGATGTGGACAAAAACTGGGAGTAGTAGGTGGTGACACTGACCTCCTGTGTCCCTCGTTTCTCAAAGGTAGGAGACACTCAGTCCTCATGGGAGATGTGGCTAGAGACAGAGGTAGCCTGAGTGAGCCCTCATGGACAAACCATAACTTGTCTGCTGGTGGCCCCCAGTTTGGATGGTTCGTGTCATAGGGGGCAGTAGAATGAACAAGATGTGCGTGGCCCCCCCGTGTCCCATTCCCTGACCAGGCCCTGCTGCGTCCAGCCTCCAGGTGCCCCCCTGCACCCCACGCTGCTCCTCACGGCCCCGCCCACCAGGGATGTCACCTCAGATGTGAGGGCTTTGTCTCATTGCTTCCCAAGACCCAGCCAGAAGGGGCGGTGGGAATCTGACGATTATTCATTCACTGCTTTAGACTAATACTAATAATAGCTAGCACATACAGCACTGAACTGTGATGTGATTGAAAACTGTGGCAACTGTTAAAACAGTCTGAATCCTGTTTCCTGGTGACTTCGGGGTCCAGCCTTGGCCTTCTGTGGGGTACACTGAGGAAACAAGTCTGATGCGAGTACATCCGTGTCCCCTCCCCTCCTGTCCTGTCACACCTGGGCTTTCTGAGCAGCTGGTAGGGGCCCTGACTTATTGCTTTCCTCTCCTGGTTCTCCCTTAGTGCCTGATCTGGATCTGCCCTAATTACATACAGTTCTGTAAAGGATTTTGCTTAAATGCCAACCTGCCTGTAATTCCCAGTGTTGGTCTGTGAAATTCGATTTGGAGGTTAAAAGGAGAAACAAACAGGGACAACACTTGGACTGATTTTGAATACCTTGTTTGTTTCACAATCTCTTACAGATCTTTCCCATACTCCTGTTCAACTCTCAGAAGAAAAATTGCCACTCTGTGTGACAGCTTTACCACTAAATCATTAAACGAACATATTTTCCCTCCTCTGATGCACATGGTGATTTTTTTCAACTTTTGTATGTACCTTTTGTGAATTTGCCTTTATATTTTTTTTTCCCAAATAGAGAACTTACTGCCCTTACAGTTATGGCATAATGAAAAAGATATGTCAGTTATAAAATTGTGGCTAGACTTAAATGGTCTGAAACCTATTTAATATTGGCTTTGGGGTCTAGGATGAATCCTTGCAAACTGTTGGGATAGATAGAAAAATATGGCCTTGTGGGTAGGGTTTCAATTCAGGAGCTCAGTCTTCAAATTGGCTATTAATCTGTATACCTTACTGCTTCCTGTATTCTGTGCCTTTTCTCTTCCTCTTCTTGCCTGTATCCCTCGAGAGAGAGACAGAGAGAGGTTGATGTGAGAAATCTATTTTCCCATGTTTTTTCTACCAAGTGCTGCGTTAGTCAGCGCGACACACAGTTCTTCTAGAGCACAGGTGATGCTCTCACCTGCATGCCTCCAGGTGTATGTTGATCTTGGACATTTCGTGGCTTATGGCTAATGACTAGGTTTTACTTAGTGCAAAAAGTAACTCATGACTTAAGTAGCAAAATACTCATTACCTTCTTCTAGACCCTCTTACTTTTTAGGTGAATGGTCTCCTTTGCTTTTCGCTTGAAACGGGGACGAAGATTGAATAAACTCCATTAGAGGCTATATATAACACTGGTGGTATTTTTAAGTCTAGCTTTAGTTTTTTTTTTGAGGGGGGGCAACCCTTTTGCAGGCTAGTCCTAGTTTATAAAATAAAAATACTTTGCTTGGAATTGAGTGTAGTAGCTTGCAACTTAGAAACATGTCAATCATGAGGCTAATTACTTTTTTTGATTGTGATTAAGAGACATGGAATTCGATTCTGGGAGTTGATAATGAATTCTCCTTTCCAGTCAAAGCACCATTTCTTGTGGATTTAAAGAAACCGGAGTTAAAGATTCCTCACACAGTGAGCTGCTACATCAAAGGTGAACCTAGGGTGATTCTGGGAACATGGTGAGTGCACTGATTGGACCCTGGGGTGCTTGGTGGGTGTGGCTTTCATGTCACAAGGGCAGAGGTGAGCAGTGCTGTGTTACTTGCCTGGGGAGAGGTCGGTGTTCCTTGGAGGAAGCTGTTCCACACAGCTTCCCTTTATATTGAAGCTTGACTTGCTTGCATTTGCTTTTCAGGACTCTTACGTTGGAGTGTGGAGTCTCTCAGGTGCCTTGGGTCTGTCTTCTTCCCTGCCTTATGCCTCACCCCCTTCCCACCCTGCTCCAGACCCACTGGCCTCCGTGTATAGAAGCCATGCTCTGTCTGCAACATTTCTTTCTCTCTCTCTGTTCCCTCTGTTCCCTCCTTTTGCCTAACTAACTGCTTACCCATCTCTTGGGTCTCATTTTAAACGGTAATTTTCAGGAAAGCCTTTCCTCACCACCACCCCCCATTTTCGGCATATGTCAGTGCAACCTGTGCTTGTCCTTTACTGCGTTTATCCCCACTGTAATTGAATAAGTGCTTGTGTGATTATCTGATGAATGTTTGTCTTCCTTATGAGACAATAACTTCATAGGTGGGGGACTTTGTTGGTGGGTTTCCATTGCTCAGCACAGTGCTTGGCAGAGGGCACTCCATAAATACTTGTCCATCAAGGCCTTGAGCATCCTACTGTCTGTTTTGCTCTGCTGATCTCAGTATTTTCTTCTGTTTGGTTCACCTACTTGTTCGTGGCTGCCAGTTTTCCAGTGCCCTGTTTTATATTTCATCTCCCTGAGTTTAAACATGTGATCACAGAATGTTTGGGGGCCAATATGGATGGGTTCACATAACTTCTTCCTGATCTGCAGGGTACAGTCCCACTAATAGTGTTGGAATTTGAAAACATCTTTCTTCTTTACTCTTGCCCCATCAGTCCTTGTTTGGTGAGTCAGCTGTCCTCATGACTAGCTTATCTAGCTGGCAGCAACGCCCGTCTTCGCAGTACAGAGGCCTTGGGGTTTGATGTCAGACTTTTTGCTTCTAAATGATTGAGAGACTGGGACTTCCCTCGTGGTCTGGTGGTTAGGACTCTGCACTTCCACTGCAGGGGGCATGGGTTTGATCCCTGGTTGGGGAACTAAGATCCCACATGCTGCATGCGGTGTGACAAAAAAAAAAAAAAAAGATTGAGGAACTGAAGATTTATCATCACATGGCCAATTCTCCAGGTCTCCTGGTGACATGTCATATGGCAGTGTTTGTGTTAGCAGGGTTCATTCATTGGTTTAACAAGGTGGAGGAACTGGAGCTCACTCAGGTGTTTAAAATCACAAGGTCACTGGGTTTCTTGAGTAGAATAGCTTAATTTCATGTTCAAGCTCTTTTCTCCTACCTAAACTGGTTTCCCTTTGTTTCCAATTTGTTTCTTCAGCCAAACCAATAGCAGGTGGCAGATATCTATTGTCTTTTACTTGTTTCCACCCAGTGGATTGCATTTCAACAAACCACACCTAAGAATTGCAGTCTTGGAAGCATGATTGGTATAGGAGTCAGAAGAACTAAAACAGTAAATGGTTAAAAGGGGTTATCTCGGCATGGGAGAGGGGGGGTAAGGCAGTAGTGGTTTTCATTATAAGACGTTTGTAGCATTATATTTTAATTTTTACCATGTGCATATATATTAAGCAGATAAATATCTGTATGTAAATATATTGACTATTTACATATAATAATCCATTATATATTCTAATAGTATATAAACATATAAATATAAATATGTATCTGATTGACATAAGGAGGTTTCAGACTTTGGCAAGGATAGAGAAGTCTTCTCTCTGTCCATGTTGGCTGAAACCTTTCCTTGCTTTTCAGGCACACAGTTTCTAGCTGCCGGTGGGGGGAGGATGCTAAGGGGAAGGGCTGTAGCTGCTACGAAGCAGCCCTCCATGACGGCAACCCAATTATTGTTTATCTTCATGGCGGTGCAGAACACAAGTCAGTTGCCTTTGCTTGGATGTATTTTTTTTTTTTTACAGAGTGAAAGAGTATTTCAGCCCTGAGGGGGAATGTAAGGCAGAGCTCAGTTTTTAGGTCTGTAAGCATCCCTTCACGTATTTTTTTCCCTTTGTTGAAATTTGAGGGTGTTCTGGCAATAGGCTTCTCTTTTTAAAAAATCTATATATTCTATATGTAGAATAATGTGGATCCTTAACTGAAAGGGAAACTAACTTCCAAAATTTGGATACTGATTTCAAAGAAGGCAATGGTTCCTTTACTCCCTAAGAGTGTCGGAAATGATGGATCAAATCCATGGACGACTGGGTAGGGAGTAGGCATGAGGTATGGAGAAAAGGAAGAGCAGTTTCCACATCAGTGGTCTTCTCACAGAACCACATGGAGATTCATTTATTTGGCACGAATCCTATTAATCAAAAGTATGGATTCCCTAGGAGAGATCACCTGGAATTCTGATCACGGCTACTGGGGGCCACCTGACTAATTCTAGTCTGGAATACTGATGCCTCGGCCTGCTCTCTGTGGTCCCAACCTTGCTTGGTAACCAAGAGCACCTCCCAGGAGGCTGGCTGTCCTTTGGTGCACTGCCAGTCCCTCTGTGAGCCTGTGTCATTATGGTGGGTGATGAGTATTGGCTGTGACTGCGGGTCTCAGCATGGGGGAGGGGCGATGTGCCTCAGAGACCCGCAGACCTCGCTCTGTCTCTGGGAGGACACTTCAAACTCAGTGACAAGGTCTGGAATCTGCCCCTCGGCTCCCCTGCCTCTGTCTCTTTTACTCACTGTCTTTTTGTGTCAGAAGATGGCCTTCTCAAGACTTGCCTTTGCTCAAGGGGCTTTCTTGAGGTGTATGTTTCAGAGTCACATTTACAGAGATTTCCTGTGAAATCAACATTTTTCAACATTGCTTATCCTTGTTCTGATGGTGTAGACTTGGGCACGGCGTTACAATGCATTTTTATTTAAAGGGTCATGTGAATCACACAGTCACGTCTGCCCTCTGAGTGAATCCGCTCTTGCCCTCAGTTATCCCAGATTTCCTGGTTTGGGGTCAGCTGCACCTTCCTGTCTCCTGCCCGGAAGTCTCAGCTTGCTCTTGGCAGTACTGAGCTGGAAGGAGGCCAAATGACAGATCGCAGGGAACCTTGATGAAAGCAGTGGTTCTATACTTGGGATCCATGGAAGCCCCAGAGGGTCCATGAACTCCCAACCCAAAATTGTACACAAAATTTGAAGAGTGGATACATTTTTTGGGGCAGCGGGTCCATAGCTTTAATTACATGTACATGTTCAAAGGGCTCCATGACCCACTAAGGTTTAAGAAACTTGGCTCTAAAACAAATTCAAATGTTTTTTTAAAGAATCCTCTGCCTTTTGAATCATCTTTATCTCCCTTTTATGTGGTTAACAGAGAGCAGACTGTGGTTCTTTTGGAAAAAAGTATTTCTTGTACCTCCAGGGCTGTGAATCTCTCTCCTTCACTTCATCTTGTACCTCTTGGCAGAGTGGACAGGATGCAGGCAGATCTTCCTTTAGTGAACTTGATTATATCATCCCTTTTTCTGAAAAGCCACTTTCTGGAACTTATTTTCCTTTAGCTTCTAGAAGTATTCTTAGAAATAGGTTTTGCTGTGCAGCAGTGGAAGGAGATGGATTGTCAGCAGTTCAATCAAATGCTTACGTTGAGAAGCGCTAGCGGTCCGGGGAGCCGGTGCTCACTTGGGGGAAGGCGGCAGCAGAGGGGAGCTGTGGGTCATTCACCCTGACACAGGCGCGTGGGCTATGACACCGAGAAGCATTGCCCTCTCTCCTGGTTATTTGTCTAACCTGAAAAAGAAAGGCGTGAGATCAGATGCCAGCAGTATGGTAGTGATTTTTGTTACAATGTTTGGACACAGGCAGGCCCAGGTGTGAATCTTAGTTCTGCTGCTGGCCATTTGGGTGTCTGTGAACAAGTTACTTAAGCTCTCCAAGGCTCGGTTTCTTTCTCTGTAAAATGTGGAGAACACATACCTTGTAGGACTGTTGTGAGAATTAAGTAAAGATTTAAAAGTGCCTGCACAGTAAACTTTTGTCCCCTTTTATCTCCCTTCCCTTCGTCTATCACTGTATTTTTTTTTCATTTAAAATTATGTTTTTATATTCTTTTCTCATTTATCTATTTGGGGCTGGCAGTGGTTTCATGTAACCAAGTGATCTCTTTATTTTTGATCAATATTAACTCTTTATCTGTTCATACTTAATATAAATATCTTCCCGTTATTTGCTTGCTTCTACTACAACTCTGTGTGGAGTTCTTATCCTCCAGGAAATTCCTAAAAAAAGGCATTTACTATGTACCAAGGTACTTTAATACATAATCTCATGCAACCTTCCAACGATCCTGAAGGTATTATTTTTCACTTCTCAGACTATATTTACACAGTTAGATGTTAAGTGGCTTTCGCAAGGTCAGACAGCTGCTAAGTGACAGAGCCAGGTGTGACCCAGGCTGTGTGGTCCTATTCTGCCATGCTGCTTTCCTTCTTTCCCGTTGAGCCTGATCTTCTCAAGTTTGAAGTCAAACACCAGATTTCAGAAATGCATTTTTCCCTACCTATTAAGCCATCATAACCAGGATTATGGAAGTGTGGAGGAGGTGAGACCACCTTTTCTGTTTACATCTCCCAATTAAAGTGATAACAGCTCCTTTGTCATCTAGGTGCTGAGTGACGGTGGTTTTCATGTCTTGTCTGTTGACTACGGAGGTATGTGTTAGGAAAAGTGTACAAAGATTTTTCAGTAAGAAGGGGCCTTTTGATAGCCCTCATTTTGGAGGCAGTGATATTGTGTTTGCCTTTCCTTGCTGCCAGGGTTCGGGGACTCAACGGGTAAACCCACGGAGGATGGGCTGACTGCGGATGCTGTCTGTGTCTATGAATGGACCGAGGTGAGAAATGGTACCACCCCTGTGTGTCTCTGGGGCCACTCTCTGGGAACCGGGTGAGTGGGGTCTGAAGATGGGTGCTGCGGTGGGTCCTTGGGGTGTTAGTGTCATATTATAGGCAGCAGTGGGCAGCAGGAGGACCCTTGAGCTAGGAGATGGTTTCTCTCAGGTTCCACATGGGGCTAGTGACCTTACACCTCAGCATGCCTGTCTGTAATACAAGGGAGGGTCTAGCTCTCCGGCTGTCTATGACACTGAAGCCCATTCCAGAACTCTCCTTGAGCGTTTTAAATGAAAGCATTCTTGTTTAGGGCCAGTGGAACCCCTTGACATCCTGTGAAAAATTTTGTGTCCGTGCACATGCGAGGGTCAAGAGCTTTCATCAGATGCTCATACTGGATGTTGCATTTTGTACTGTTGACTGTTAAGTCACTGCTTCGCATATGTACTAATTTTCATTGCTTTACAGAGTTGCAACAAATGCTGCAAAAGTTCTAGAAGAGAAAGGTATGATAAAATGCTTATTTTACATCGTATAATTTCTTGGCTTGATGTGGGAAAAGAAAAACAGTGAAGAGACTATTGTGCACAATCTGAACACAGAGATACCTGGAGCACCCCAACTTTAGACAGTTCCTGATAGTCTAATAAACTCTCTTTTTTCTATTTAATATACACAATACCTGCTTTTCAGAGTTATGAAATTAAAAGTAAATACTAAGGAAAGAGTTAAAATTACCTTAAGAAAGCCCTCACTGTGAAGTGATAATAAGTGTTGTTATGGAGTAATCTGGATTACAGGGGAGGAAAATAATACATTATGAAGTAATAGGCAGGACTTGCTTTCTGCAGCCCTCCTTACATAATATTTATATCAGTGTTTCTCAAAGTGTTCTGAGAACTGCCTTTGTCAGAATCTGCAGGGGGTGTTTGTTAGAAACACAGGTGACAGCTAGGTGGATCCTAGCTGTCTTCATAAAATGGAATCCCTGTGACTAAGACCAGGTGATCTTGATACGTGTTAAAAGCTTGTAATCACTTGCAGTGTATCTTAAACTTTACTTGGCAGTACAGGTCAGGGTGAGTTACCGTAAACATTTTAAAGTGTGTCACCTGCTATACACAATCTTAATTACTTATGGAAATAAAAGAAATGTCATTTCATTGGTCCTCTAAACTCTCATGGCTCCTTCAATGTTGACAATGATGAATTACCTGAATTAAATTCCCACATAAATGAATACTTGACTTCCTGGATAATGCAATTACCTTAGAACATTTTAATTACATTAAGTCCCCAACTTATGAACTCTTGCTACCATGTATTTTAATTTTCTCTATATTACATACTCCATAAAAATGATTATTCTCATACTATAAAGTCAGTATTTAGATTTACCCTTTTCTTTGCTGTTTGTTTCCAGCATCGCTGTGCTTCCATCTGGGATTTTTCTTCCACCTGTCTGTTGGTGAAGATTTCTCTCAGTTTTGGTCTGAAAATGTCTTTATTTCATCTTCATTTTTGAAGGCTATTTTTCCTGGGCATAGAGTTCTAGAGTGGCATTTATTTCAACCTTTCTAAGATGTCATCCACTTTGTTCTTGCTTTTACAGTTTCATTAGAAAGTCAGCTGCCAGTCTTACTGTTGCTCCTTTAAAGATAATGTTTACTTTTTCTTTTGGTTATTTTTGAGATTTCTTTTTTTCTTTGTTTTTCAGCATTTTT